GCCGGCCGCCCACTGCACCTCCTGGGAACCGGCTGCGGCTGTCCGCGTCCTCTGCCACCCAGAGCCGGCGGCATGCAGGTGGCTCCGGGCCTGGGAACGCCCGCGAGGCCCACTGGGGCCTGCTCCTGCAGGCATGCATTCATTCACCCACTCACTCACTCATTCAGGTTCTCACCCAGCCAGCCAGCGACCCCACTCACTCATTCATCCCCACCCATTCATTCATTGACTCATTCATTCTCTCACCCATTCTCCCACCCAACAACCTCACTCAGTCCTCCTCGCTCATTCTTCATTCACTCGTTCATTAATTCATTCTCTCCCCACACATCCATACATCTATCCGCTCACTCCTTCCACTGATCCATTCATTCCACCACTCATTCGTTCTCTCACCCACCCATCCACTCATGCCATCACTTATTCATTCACTCATTCATTCATGTGCTCATTGGTCTACTAACTCACTCCTCCACCCACTCACTCATGCAATCGACACCCATTTTCCCGTTTGATCATTCATTCTCATTAATTTATTCATTTGCTTCACTCACTCATTCCTGCATTAATCTGTCATGCATGCCCTCCATCTACGGTCATTCATTCATTCACTCTCATTCATTACTTATCCACTCATCCACTCTCTCTAGTCACGTATTCAGTCACCACACATCTACTCATTCATTCATTCACTCGTACTCCATTCACTCGTCTGCACACTCGTTCACTTGTTTTTTCTTTATTCAATCATCTCATTCACTGAGCCCCACGGATGGGGGGGGGGCTCTGCAATCTGACAAACTCGAATTTGAATCCAGGCTCACGCCACCCCACACCCCGCACGTACTGCAATGTGACTCGCCAGATACTTACTTGCTTTGGACGCGACTTTTCTCACCTGTGAAATGCGTCCCACAGGAGAACCTACCAGGCCACTGAGTTCGTTCCGACTCTACGTAAATGCTGGAGAAGATGACCCAGGGGCCCAGGGGTCAAGCGGTGGGGTCCAGAGTGGAGTGGGAGGGCAGCGGAGGTGGACAGGGGGTGGGAACCGAGGAGGGGCGTATGGTCCTCGGTGTGGGCGTGGCCCAGAGGCCACGGGGGGAGGAGCCAGTGAAGGGCGGAGTCAGGATTGCAAGGGAGAGAGCGGGCTTAATGCAGAGAAGAGGCGCTCAGAGAGGACTGGCTTTGGGCTACCTTTGGGGGCCCTGTTGGGACCCTAGTTAAAGTGCGCAGCCGCTGAGCGAAAGGTCTGAAGTTCAAACCCACCAGTCACACCACAGCAGAACGATGTGGCAATCCATTTGCATAGAGATTAAAAAGCAAAAAAACTCAAATTCACTGCTATCACAGCGACCTTATGGGGCTGTGACACTTTATGGGAGTAGAAGCCTCCTCTTTCTCCCTCAGGTGGACGCCCTGGTGGTGTAGTGGTGACAAATTGGGCTGCTATCCGCATGGTCAGCAGTTCAAAACCACCAGCAGTTCTGTGGGAGAAAGACTGGGCTTTCTACTCCCGTCGACAGTTACGGCTTGGGGACACCCACTAGATCATGACTCCGTGGAAGAGAGGTTTTTCTCCCTCAGGGGCTGGTGGTTTTGAACAGCCCCTCCCCCTGCCAACGTGGGGGCCGAATCTTTCACTGAGGTGGGGCGAGCAGCCCTTGGGCCACATGCCCCTGCCCCAGCCATATTGCCACACACATGGCCCCAAGTGCCCTGGCTCAGAGCTTCGAGACAATGACACACAGCATCAGGGGGCTGGCATCATTTCTGCACACTTTTCAGCAACAGGAGGAAGCCACAGACAGATGGAGCTTGGGGGATGTGCAATTGGGGGAGCTCCTGAGGGCTCCCCTCCCCTCAGAGGCCAGGTGACTCCCTCTGTTTGTCCAGAGAAAATTTTGAAGTGGATCTGTCAGCTCAGGTCTCAAATTTCCATAGGCCCCCTCTACCTGCCCCCCCCCCTCTGGGATGCTGATTGAGCAGGGTCACACTTGTGCCAGTACACCCTGTCCTTCCTGGGGTGCAGGCCACATCCTGGCATCACCCCCTAACTCCCCACTCCCCTCTGTCTCCACTCACCCCCAATCCTCTAGGTAATCCCGCCCTTGTCCAGGGTCCAGGGTCCACAGTCCACCTCTCACTCCTTGTCCTCCCTGGAGTGCCTTCCTCCCTGATCTCCCCAATCCCACCTTTGTCCCCTTGGCAGTGGGTAAATCTACTGCCCAAGACCTCTTTACAGTGTTGAAAAGCAAGGTGCCCCTGCCTCAAGCCGTGGTATCTTCAGTGGTCTCCTATGCATGTGAAAGTTGGACACTGAATAAGGAAGACATAAGAAGAATGGATGTATTTGAACCACGGTGCCGGCGAAGAATATTGAAAGTACCATGGACTGCACGAGCAGATCTGTCTTGCAAGAAGTGTAAGGATGATGAGACTTTGTCTTATATACTTTGGACACGTGGTCAGGAGAGACCAGGCCCTGGAGAAGGACATTATGCTCTGTAAAGTAGTGGGGGGCATCGAAAAAGAGGAAGGCCTTTGGTGAGATGGATAGACACAATGGCTGCCACAAAGGGCCCGGAGGTCTCTGGGTAATGCCTCGGCTTCTACCACACACAGCAGGCCCGGCATTCTGTGTGGTGCTATCCTTCCAAAATGAGTTGCCACAATCGTGGCTCTGCCGCAAGTGGCCCGGATGAGACTGAGGGGAAGTGTTCAGGTACTCAAAAACAAACCAACCCACTGCCATCGAGTCCAGAGCACCCTGCAGGACAGGGTAGATCTGCCCCTGTGGGTTTCCCAGACTCTTGAGGGAAGTAGAAAGCCTCCTCTTTCTTCTGAGGAGCAGCTGGTGGTTTTGAACTGCTGACCTTGCTGTTAGCAGCCCAACCCATAAGCACTACCCTACCAAGGTACCAGGGTCTAAGGGGCCGAGAGTGAGAACAAAACAATACAGCTCATTGGTATTGATTGATCCCAGCATGTGTGGACACCGCCTGACAGAGTTAAACTGCCCCCGTGCTTCCTTGTGTTTGACTCCACGGAAGTAGATCGCCAGACCTTTCTCCCGCGGCACCACGGGGGCCAGTTGGAAACCACGGCCCTGACGTCTATGTTCTTGGGAGCCGTGAAGCCGGTTTCTATGTGGTC